CAGTGTTGTCTTTTTTCTGTAATAGAATCACTCTTTTACCCATTTGTCCTCTTTCGATTAGGACCTCTCATTTAAAAAAAAATCGTATTCATTTGTCAAAAGAGACTATTTGGACTTTGCTCTTGCCTAGTACAATGCTCATTATAATCTGGACATGATTGGCAAATGCCCTTGAAAGCAGGAGCTGGAACGGAGTAGAGCAGAAAAATGCTAATTCAGATGGCTAAGGAAAAGTAGAAAGTGGCAGAGTGTCTGTGAGGGAGTAGCTTTTTATTGTATGCCTATACTTTGCAAATAATGCTTGTTCACAGGTGTTATCACAAATGTTTTCAGTGTTTTCACTTTGCTAAATAAATATTGCATTGTAAATTGCATTAGTGTGATATTCTATATGTATTCAGTTTGCCACGACCAAAACTAATCATTTTAACACAGTAAGAGTTGTCTTTTCACATTTTTCTCCATGTGATCTAGTGTGAAAGGAATGTTATGATACTTACTGATCAGTTAGATGAAAGCAGTTTGACTTCAGAGTGACAGCTTTATCCAGCTTGTGATATTCCTCTGCTCAGTGGTTTTACTGACACTTCCTCTTGCCAGGAGGTAGAAGTTTGCTCAAAGTTATGTCCCCTTTTCATGTGAGTGAGGCGGTAGTGTCCCAGTCTAATTACCCACTAGTTCGTGGGCAGAAGAGGATGTGTGGCTGTGGAAACATGCACTGTCTGAGCAGTTGTTCAAAGACTCCAAGAAGAAGGTAGCGAGCCAACTGGAGGTGAGACACAGCCAGGGTCCAGCCTTTGGGACAGTTCTGAGCTATATTATGAGTCTCAAGTAAGGATCCCTTAAGGGAAAATCACACTAGTGATTCTTTTAAGTTGCTGGTTGTAATGAGATGTCACACACAAAAGCTAAAGGAACTTCTATACAAGGTTTATTCAAGGAGATGGACAATTTTTTAATACTAGCATATCTGTAGTCATCACCAGCTGAAATTCTAGCAAAGACAGAAGTCTTCGTTCTTGAAAGATCTTGTTCTGCATCTTCAGGTGCAAACTGTATCCATAATGGCAGGCACATTTTACCTGTGAAGTAACAAAAAATTTAACAGAAGGTGAGAGGGACTCTGGAGAGATCTGCAGTAGAGAAGATTCAGATTCACCAGGCTATTTGTAACTTGAAAGTCTTGCCTAGAAATTTGTAATTTATGCAGTGGAGAAGGTAGCAAAAGCTACAAAAAGTGTGGTCATCTGTAGCTGCATTGAGGCCTGAATGTGGTTACTTGCAACCACGTTCAGTGCCTGTTAGTCATCAGATGCAATTATTTGAAAAATGCCATATATCTTTCTGTGCCTTTATCCTCCAGAGCTCTGTTTGTCAGTCTTTCTGGTCAGTTACACTTCACTCCATGGGTTTTGTTGTGTCATTATTTGCTAAGTTAATAAGAATCAGGGTGATGTAAGACACAGTGTAGCTGTTGTGTGCAGAGGGGTCCTAAATCATCTGTCTGGATGAGGTGCACGTAGCCCGGTTCTGAAGTCTATCTTTGAAGACACTGGAGGGAAAAAAGAATATGTTAGAGGGATCCTCTTCATTCTAAGGTAGATCTTCTAATCTGCTGCTTATCAGCTGCTTTTTAGACATGCCTGTTTTTTGCTTTGGTACAAACTGACTCTAGCTAAGGCTTGGAGAGATTCCACCTTATACCTTGTAACCCAGAGCATCTAATGCAAACCTTAATGATGCAATGAATATAGGTGATATTTTCTATACATGGAAATTATATGCTGTTTCAGCGCTTGCAATTTCCTCAACACCAGTCCACCAGAAGGGCGAGTACCAATGTGCTGTGTAGGCACATCTTTCTTTTACTGAGGATTAAGGACCTGGGGTTAAAAAAGAAAGGCAAACATCAGTGTTACAGGCTACTGTTAGTTCTGTCTCTATATATTATGCATGCTAAGGATTAAAAATATAGTTAGTATAGTTTTTACTAATGCAACACGCATCAGCTTTTTGTCAACTGAAATACGGTGGAATTACAAAAATAAATGGAATTTATGAATAAGTAGATATGTCAGTTGAACTAAATGTGCTCAACTTAGATATCCTTAGTATGCTAAAGGCACAGAAATTATTCTTCTGCACAGAACTGCAAACATAGAGTTGTAGTATGTTTTAACGTGCAATGTGATAGCATTATAGTTTCTGCAGCTTCTCTGTTCAATTTGTCAGCCGTAGTTTGCCTCATTCAGACAGAGGCTTGTGTAAACATTGCATGTATTGCTTCAAGAGATGTGCTGTGCGCATAAAGTCAGTCATATTTCATTACTTTATTCTTCAAAATAACTTTACTGTTTGATATTCCTGCTAAACCATGTAGAGCCACGATAGCAAAGAAAGCGTGGGGTATGTTCTTTCTTGCTCGTTGTTTGAATCACTTTCTGAATTAAACATACATAAACTTATTTGGGGAGGGGAGCACTGTGAAAAGTCTCATTTGCCATGTTCGGTTGGTAGTGAAGGAAATAATGCTGCTAATAATTTGAATTCTTGACCTTCAGGTTGGGTTTGCTGGAGTAGCAGTTGTACCAAAGAAAGAGAAAATATGCTTATTTTAAAGGTCGTTGGTACAAGTTGGTACAGGCTGGCTGTGAATAAATCGTCTGTAATCCAGCTCAGAGTGAAAAGGAAGATAGGAGAGACACATCTATTACACCGTCAGCAGCATCTTCTTGAGCATGTGGGCTTTCATTCTGTGGAAGAAGCCACGCAAGTTCTCCACAAGCATGATTTTAACTTATGTATTTCAGAAGCCATTGTTTTTCTTTCAGGGAGTTGGTGTTTGTGGCACCTTAAGCTCCACAACGTGCCACTGGGTCTTTTGGGCATTTTAGCTTTTTCCCTTTGGATGAGAATTTGTTAGTCAAAAATATCTCTCGGATAAACTGCTTCTGGTTCTAGTGGGTGTTTTCATTGTGCATAGTCTCTGTCCTTCATGCCATGGCAGTTACTGGATTCTTTAAAAAAAGTGAATAATGGACCAGAAAATGTAGAATTCAGTTTTGTTGACTGCATATTAGCTTCTACCTGAAGATCCAGGGAATGCTGAGCCAGCATCTTCAGAGAAGAGTGTGAACAAAAGTGTGAAACAGCCAACATGAGTGTATACACATAAGACACAAATTTCCAATTTTGTTTGAAAAGAAAGCAGTAATAAGCATTTTGACCAAGTATTGAAAGATCTTTGTTTTACAAATATGCAGAAAACACAAGAACACTGAGTCTAAATTACTTACTTGTGGACTATGCTTTCAGGGAAGGGTACATTCGTTTTATGGAATTAGCCCTACATTTCAATGTCAGCTGTAGAGTGTAACCCTACACTTAGTGAAATGGGGAGCTAAGGTGACTTGGGATGTAACTGAAAGGCTTCCACGTTATGCTCTTTGATGCCATTGGAAAACAGGTTGGATTGGGAAAAACAGCACATTATTCAGATGCCAGAGTTTTAGCGAACAATAGGGAAATTGCGTTTGCTTAGTACATTACATATGCCATGCAGTTTTTGGGCTTGTGTCTAATATTATGTAAGGCAGAGATTGGCAGCTTTTCAGGAGCGAGGTGCCAGATTGTATTTTTCTTTCACAAATTAGAGGTTAAGAACGCTGGTTGAAAACATTCAAACGTGCTGTCAGGCGGTGTTTGGAAACGGCTGGCTGTCAGGCAGGCAAGATGCCACCCGGCAGCCGGCGTGGGGCCGTTGTGAGGGGCAGGGCTCCCTCTCCCAGCGCTGCTGGAGCCGGCAGTGCTCTCGGGACACCAAGGCTCCCGGTGTGCCGGCCCGTGCCCGCGATGCCAGTGTTGTGTGCCTCTGGAAATCTACCCACCTCTTTGCCTTGTACACCAAGGGCTAGGAGCTGCAGGCCCAGTGGGAAACTCTGTCCCATGCATCTGAAATTGTCTGTTGTAATTGCGATTAGTGTGAAGTTTGGCATAAATTTCTTGTACGAGACTGGCTTAACGTGGCTCTGCAGAGGTGTTTTTGTAACAGATACTTTGGATGGTCACTGTGAAACCAGAGCTAATCGATTGACCAGTAATGTCCTCTTATACACTGCATTTTTCTGAAGTAGGGATGAGCATGAGAAGATTCTTGATGCAAAGAAATCATATTTGAAACCCCTGAGCATATGCAAAAAGATGCTCTTTGTGAAGTGATATGGAATATTATAATGTCTATATTGGTTTTGCAGGCTGTATTAATTAAGAAGTAATACAGGATAGTATAGGAGAGTAACCTGTAGGCTTGCTTTAGAGTCTGACCTTTTGACAAAGAGCTCTAGCTGTTCTATATGCTTAATAAGTCTTGGGAGTGCTAATTACCAAGTAACCTCGAGCCATGTCTGAACAGTGAGCAATACTGTCCTTTTTTCAAACCTAGTGCAATTGTGCATGAGTTAGCCTCTTATTTTGTGGTATCATCCATACAAACCCGCTGGTGTTGCGTCTAGTGTAACATGTTTCAAGATTGTGCCTGTCAACACTTTTATCAGGAAGTGTAGCAGGTTCAGAAACCAACAGCTGATTACAGGCAGCTGCCTGTTGATTTTAGTACAAGACTTATTGTTAAAAGCTTTCAAATGTAATTATGGCATGGGACAGTTACTGTGTAGATACTCCCAGAGTACCACCTCTGCAGCCTGCCAGCACGTGGACCGTGTTGTCTTCCATCCATGATCATATGACACCTAGATCAGTTTTGTCATTTAGAAAATGCAAATGGTCTCTAGATAGAAAACCTTACCATGAAAATATCTATATTATTTCTATCACTTCTTATCAAATCTTAGTGATTTTGGTCATTGCATAATAAAAAACGTAGCATAATTTTCTTTCTTAAATTAAAAAAAAAAAAAAAAGCGCGTATAAATGTGTGACTACTTTGAATTTAGTAGCATGTACTAATACACATTTTAATGGTATTTCATGTTTTTTCCCAGGAGCCGTGATCATCTCCACTCCACAAGACGTGGCTTTATTGGATGCACACAAAGGAGCTGAAATGTTTAGAAAAATCCATGTACCTGTAAGCCTCTACATTTAAAAAAAACAGTAGATTGTTTTTCCAAAATGTATAAAAAAATAAATCCATATACTGCAGTAGGTGAACAAACCATTCAGGAATCACTTGAATTTCGTAAATTCTGGTTCATAAAAAAGGATTAGAATCCATCTTATATGTGTATCAGGAGTTTGCTTTAACAGAAAGGAAAAAATTTTCTCAGGCTGAGGTACTTGATTTCTTTTAAATCAGTCTTTTTCGTCACCTGGAATGGATCAGACTGCTAAACAGAATATCTTACAAAGTAATGTGTGCTTTCCAATTATATTGTCTTACTATATGCTCATTTTGTGTCCTCTTTAGCACTGTCTGTGTTGCAGCTTAAAATCTAAAATCTCTTGAAACATGGAAGACATATATTGGTACATTTTTAAGAAGGAAATTTAAGTTTTTTGGCAGATATGTGCATACCTTGTCACTTTGCCATTTGAAGAGCTCTGTGACTATCACAACAAGTAGAATGCTGTGTATATCACTTTGTTTTTCATTAAGTTTATAGCTTATATGGTAGCTTGCTTGTTTGGGAAATGCAAAATTTAAAAATATCCACAGTATTCATATGGATAGGGAGAAATATTAAACAGGGTGACATCTTTGACTCGATATTTTCTGAGTGCTACAAGTTGCTAAGTAACTGAATGTTATACTCTAGAGTATGTTCATGAAGAGATTAATTTTTCACTTGAAATGTGCAGTTGATGAGAAAATATAAGCTGAAATGCTTCCTTATCTTAAACAATAAAGAAAAAAAACATTTACTATACTTTAAAAAGGGTGTTTTCTTGCTTACCTGTGTGAAGGTTACTTCTACCCCATATTAAGAAAGGAAATTTCTTTCCTAGCTAGTGCATTTTTAATTTAAAAAATGCAACAGAAACCTTGAAGCTGCTTTCCCTTTTTGTTTTAAATTACAGAATGGCTCAAGGAAAGAAATATATTGATAAATTCCTTATTGTTAACTATTCCTTAAGCATATTTGCACCAAAAGGAAAGTATAGTGGCATTTATCATTTGCTGCTAGAAGAAAAACAAATACATATAACAGAAGAATGACATATGGAATTATTTTTTTTATTTTATGTTTGAGTTTGCTAAAATTCTGCAAAAAATATTTTCTTCAAATAAAATTTTGTTCAAGTTAGTACTTTGCTGAATTTTCCTTTTGATTTAATGAGAAATTACCAAAATTTCTTTCTAAGACTGTTTTGTTCAATGGTGTTTGAAGAGAATGGCCTCTAAGAAAATCATGCATTCTAGGATAGGCTTGGCTGCTGTTGATTTGGCTAGTGGTAGACAAGATATTAAATATGATCTATTTTGATTTGTTGGAATTTTCAGATCTTTCTAAATCAAATTAAAAGTCATAGTCAAGCTGTTGCGCCACTTGCTGAGTTTGAATGCACTTGAACCAGTCATCAGGTCTTACTTTTTTCACGATGCTGCTTCATTTTATTCTAACCTTGTATGTACATCAGAACAGATGTGTCATTTACTTCCTGCCTATATATTATGTTTCTGTAAGTGTCAACTAAATCTGAGGGTCTAAAGCAAGTTCAGTTATATAATTTTTGAGGGGCAACTTCAAACCTGATGTTTACATCAAAGAGGTGGACTGTGCTAAAATTGCATATCCTGATTACATAATTCACTGATTTAAAAAAATCTAATCTTTAAAATCTTTAGTCTTTAAAAAAGCACTTGCAAAGAGTCTACTTTTCAAGGAAGCAGAGAGTCTATAGATTGCTGAGTTCTGAGTCTTTGAGTATGCTTGCTTATATTTAATGAACTGGAGCCTCTCGCTTGTACATATAGAATCATAGAATCATTACGGTTGGAAGAGACCTCAAAGATCATCAAGTCAAGTCCAACCTTCTACCCAATGCCACCATGCCCACTAAACCCACTAAACCATGTCTCAAAGCGCCACATCTAAACGTTTTTTGAACACCTCCAGGGATGGTGAGCCCACCACCTCCCTGGGGAGCCTGTTCCAAAGCTTAACGACTCTTACAGTGAAGAAGTTCTTCCTAACATCCAACCTGAACCTCCCCTGGCGCAACTTGAGACCGTTTCCTCTTTTCCTAGATATATAGGCATACATGCACCACCTTCCCCTCACCCCCACAGTCATTAGTCATGTCATTAGACTCAAATGACATATGTACTATTACCACAGTAAAGTCACAATTGTTAATATTGTTTGTTTGTCCTTTATGGCATTGAAATTAGAGTAGAATGACTGAAGGAACTGATGAAAAGCTGGCAATGAGACTCAGTGTTAGAACCAGGATTACAATGCAAAAGTCTTACTTTCAGTCTTAGGACATAGTCATTAGAAGAGGAGTGCCATCTCTTGTGCGGTGGAGCACACCTAGTAAGGAAGGAGTTTGCAAAATGATGCTGACTCTTATCACAAGAAGTTTCAGGATTCTCGCCTGTTATGTGAGGTTAGCCATCGTTTTCATGGATCCTAGAGGCTTGCTCTGGGCAGGTGACAGAAAAAAAGTGAATAACTTTGAATATTTAGGAAAAAATTGCCTATTTTCACCTGCTGAAATTGATTTCAGTTCAGTATGGTTTATCTTATTAATCATATCCCTGAAAGAAAAAGACAGGGTTTTAGTTAAATCTGCAACTTTTCTGATAGTTTGCTTGAATTGGAAGGTTATGTTGTGGATTTCACAGATTTCAAAAAACTGGTTATGTAAACTCAGCTATGTATTTCCTTCTAAGCTGTACTAAAATTGTTTATTTGGCTGTGTACTTACTGGTATTTCTGTGATTTTTGTATTTCAAGATTATGACTTCATATTGAGAGCGGATGTTCGTGCCAAAAATTGCTCGTTATAAGACGAAAGTTAGGAAGATAGAAATATTATTGTGCACGTTTACTTGAAGCACTAAAACGTCAAATGACTGCCTGATGGTTACGTAGGAAGTTGATGGCAGACTGCAGAACTGTAACCCTGATCACTTCAGTCCCTGTCAGATTGGAGTTGGACCTCAGCGCCATCCATCCTTAAATACAGTGAACAACTTAAGTGGGCTTCTCAGGAATTGTCTCCTTGTGTAACGACAGAGGGCTTTCATTTTCTTACTGTATTTTCTTTAACTTAGAATGTAGTATATTTGGATTTTGGCATGATTTATTGTGCAACTGAAAGGTTAATTGAGCATAAGAAGTATGTAAACATTCAGAAACAGTGGGTGTGCAGGTAATTCATAGTGAAAGGTTACCTCATTGCCTGTTATTTCTTGATAGATGTCTCTTCACTGTTTAAAATAACAATTTGACTAAATGAAATTCAGTTCTGGGCATTATAACTCTCCTGTGCTACGAGAGGTTAGCTCCTGTATTGTGGTGCACCTCATCATACTAGTTTTCATGTCACTACTGAGCCAAGTTTGCTGAGAAATGTACAGGGAAAGGAGCTTGCTAAGGACTAGAACAGGATTCACATGTACTTTTGGGATAGTTTGTGTAGACGGTAACAGCTGCTTTGAAGCTATTCCAGATCTATTATTTTAGCAGGGAAATGAGAGTTGTTACTGACTTCATTAGCCAGACCTATTACTTTGTCTGTAGATTTAAAAGCTCTGAAGATCATAGTGAACTCTCTTCCTTCTGTAAATATAGCTGCAGATATATGCACGTTAAAAATACACTTTAGCACTAAAGTTGTGTACCTTTGTACAAATTCTGTATTAAACTGGGTGGCAACTTAAAAAAAAATTCTTCATATTCCAGAAGAATAATTTATATATTAATGTCTGCACTATTCAACGGCTGACAAACTGTTATAGCACTGAGGATACAACTGTATCTCAGCATTTGCATTAACTGTGGCAGAAGGACTTCTGAGTTATCAGGTTATCAAAGAATTAACAGAACAGCTGTAATAGTCCTTAACTATTCACAAAACAATAGTAGACTACATAACCTTTTCTTTGATTGTGAGTTTGCTGAATCATAAATGTTGTATAACTACTTTGAGAACAGAAAGTTCAAACCCCAAGATACCTGAAGATGAATTAATTAATTTAAAGTATAAATGTCAAGTTATCTTTTTTTTTTTCCTACACTGCAAAAAATGGCTTCCGTGTATCCTACTTAAAATACTGTTTTTCTTTTATCAAATAATACTCCTTCCAGTGTTCTCCAGTTTACCAACAGAGTGAAAATTCCATGACTTTAACTTAAGGAGGGCAGGACAAATGCCTGCTCAGAGGTCATCAGTAGAAGACTGGCTGTAGAGAGACGTTTTTACCACCCCTGCACCCTGTAGCCTTGGACACGTAGTATTTCATATCTCTCAGTTTAAGAACTGGATGAGAGAATTACCTGTAATAATGTGCCAGTAAATAGAAACTTCTCCCTTTTACTCCTCTGCCAGTCCCCAGAAGAGAGTAGAAAATAGGGAAAGTTTGTGGTGTTAAATTGAAAGTAGGTAATTTGTTGTTGTTGTTGTTTCTTAAAATGTTCCATGCTTTAAACCCTCTGAAAGTTTTACATAAGTAAAGGAAGACTTCTTAGAAAAAAGTGTGAAGCACATTATGGTGGTATAGAAAAAACAGGTGATCATCTTTTGATCATTTTTTAGCTTGTATCTAAAGGAAATTTTTGTTAAGATACTGTAAATAATATGCTTCTTTATTTTCAGTTTTAGTGCCGAAAGTTGTACATTCACTATTAATTAAATAACTTAATATTTCCTGGTTGCATTGAACACTGGTATATCCTTTTAGATAGGCTTCATTAGCATAGTGGATATGTTACTCCTCTAATAACTGCGCCAGCTTATTCAAGCACAAAACTAGAATGCTCAGGGAAATTTAAAAGTACAAAATGCTGGAAATTAAATAACAGCTTTTTGTGCTTGAAAATATATATTCATATTTTTAAAACTTGGCTGTAGTGTGTGTGACGTATCTAGATAACATGTAAAACTTAAAGTGAAATATTCTAACATGGAACCACTTAAAGCAGGTCTTCTGTTGATTAGCAGATGGGTAGAAGCTTTCACCTTGTAGTGTTTGACTGCTGATTTCATCACTTTTGAGAAATTCTGCTCTGCCTCCATGAAGTTTTATTTACTAGGTGAATAAATGAGATCAATGCTATCATTAGCACTATTGTACATTATGAAAGAAGATTTTTGTGTGCATGATTTGGCGAATTTTCATTTGACATACTTTTCAAGGATGATGTTGAACACCTGGCATCAACAGAAAGGTACCTGTGTATTAGATTTTATGCTGTGGGTTTTACCGCTTAGTTTCGCATAATTATTTCTTTTGTTTGATCTTTAAAATGCTTTCTGCTTTTCAGAAGACTAGCAAATCTGGTTCTTTTTGAACCCTACAGGATAACTTACAAAAATATCTTAAAAGCACGTCTGATTGTGTCATTTCTTGTAATGGTATGTTTTTATTTTGTGGTTCCTGAAACTGCAAATTACAAAGCTGTAAAACACAACATGAAAATTCTTCCAGTATTCAGAGTTTGAAAATGAAATACTGGCAAGGAGAGTTGTTGGAAAGATAAGCCTATAGAAGAGATACTTTTTGTTCAACTAAGTTTGTTAGTGTTTGAGAGGTATAAATGTGAAAAACTTAAAATAACGCACAAATGATAGTCCAACTGAGATGACTAATGATAGTTCATAATGATATTATTGAGTCTGATATTACTTTTACCTTCCCATTATAAATGAGTACTCTTTGTCAGTTCTTTGTTGATAAACTCTTTATTGTCAGAGATCAATAATGGAAATATCAGTGCTTGAATCCCAGATTTGAACATTACTTTCTTTTACTTTAACAGGTTTTAGGGCTGGTTCAAAATATGAGTGTTTTCCAGTGTCCCAAATGTAAACATGAGACGCACATTTTCGGAGCTGATGGTGTAAGAGATCTAGCAAAAACCCTTGGATTGGATATTTTAGGTAAGAATATAGAAATGGTTTTATTTTTGAAGAAAAATTATATGGCGTGCATGAGGGTAGCATTAACTGAAGTATGGAACTGCATAATCCTAGATTACTCTATGTTCAGACAGTGCTCAGATATAATAGAACTAATAACTTAAGTAGTTGAATGTCACAATTTTTGTATGCTCTGTTCCTTATCAGGGCCATTCTTGTAAATGGGTTGTGGACTGGATATGAAAATTCTTGAATTGCACCTTAAATCTCTTTTGATTTATAAACAATCCAGAACATTAATTTTTGACACTGATGTGCTATATTAGCTGAAATTCATTCTGTTAATGATCATACAACAATTTTTACTCTGTCCATTAATGTCAGTAGAATTTTTCTTATTTATTTCATTTAAATGAAATGAGTTGTTACATATTGAAATAAATATGGTAATTTGAAATGCAGTCCCGTAAAGCAGTTGTTTTTATGCCGATATGAAGGTATCTTGACTCTTGTATGGAAGCAAGCAGACTGTATTGAGATTAAAAGAATACACTGAATTGCAAAGTGTTGTTTCAAAAGAAAAGTATTGAAAGCAAAAATTAGCCATGATTAAACAATTTGGCATACCTATAAGCTAAAATATACATTGATCTTTAAAATACACATTGCTGTTTTAAAAAGGCATATTTAAACCTGTGCTGTCAGTAAAAAAAAAAAATTACAGAATATAACGCAGCATAATTAAGTTGGTAAATGGGATAATTGCATGTGCTAATGATGTGTTTCCATGTATTACTATAATTATCTCAATGATTTTCCATAGCTAATTCATTAAAAAGAACCAGGAAGCTCACTTAGAAGGATCAACACAGAAACATCAAGGTCTGACATAAACTTAAGATAGCAAGGCAACACATAATTAAAGACATGCTTTTGGGCTCTCTTTTAGTTTTCTGAATATATAATGAGTCGTGATCAGAGCCCAAGGGGACTTCTACAGCCCTGGGTTATGTGGATGGATGCAAATCCTCTGCAAGCAGTTGAATCAAACATGCATTTAGATACACAGGCACAAATGATATTCCATGCCATTGGTCCTGTAGATGGTTTTTGTTATTCCCTAAGAAAGCAGAACTGATTGTGATTGTATTTAATTAGGAGTGATGTGGGAGATTTACAGGTTTAGCAGGGGATGGATGAGATGTATGAAGAAAAGCAGAGTGAAGTTTACCTTCAAACTGTCAGTGAGAGACCAAACTAAGATGAAGAATAATGCCCCAAGGGTTAAATTTAGACTTACAGTACTTGATCTGATTAGTATGCTTCTCCTTCCAGGGATGACCATTATATAATAATACCATATGGTATAATAAAAATTACTGCTTACAGATTTTACGTTAATCTGTCCCAAATGGAAATCTCATCCCAACGTTATTTGAATTCTGCCCTTGAGAACTTACTTTTTGTGTATATATATAAATGTATATATTTAAAATTAGTATTTGTAAATTTATTTTGCTTATATTTTGCAACACCTGTGGCTGTTCTATTCAACTAAGCACCTAGTCTTCTTGTGAATCCTGAGAAGGTTTTAGTTTCCATGATAACATCTGACAAATTCTGCAAGCTAACAATGTGCAGGATAGAAAAGTATTTTCCTTTTATTTGCTCAGAGTCGGCTGCCTTTAATATTATTGAAAAACTTACTTATTTTTGTTGATGATGGAAGACAGTTAGCAGTTGCCAGTACACCTTTGAGTGTAGTTCATTATTTCATATACTTTTGACTGTCTCATGTTTTTATTGTTCCTTAAAGGAAAGTGTGCCAAAGTTTGTGAGAAAGACTTTGTGCTTCTGATTGTTTCTCTCTCTGTCTCTGAAGTTCCCCTATTTTGGTTTCTTTTTTTTGAAGTTTGATGATATATTGATATATTGACCATTGATATATAATACATAATACTAAGATAATTTCTCTATACTCCATCCTGACCTTTGCACTTCATAACTTTTTAAACTGTATCTGCTAATAGAACCAGCAAAAATGACTCTCAGATTTAAGAAATTTTTTTTGTTTTTACTTCCTACAATAAATGCAAATTATTCTCAGCACTTACTCTCTTTGCAGTCAGCAATAATTGTTAGTATCAGAAAAACATATGATGGCAAGTTCCCATGACATTCTGTAATGAAGAATAGTGCAAAAACTTCATCTTCCTCAAACCCTTATCACTCAAACAGCAGTGCAGATGCTTTTGCTGTCTTTATGCTTCTGCTTAATTTATGAGCTTTTGATTTTTTTTAATTAAGATTGCATTTTATTTTGTCTTCTGTCTTGCACTTTTGCTCCTACGAGTCTTGTTTATGCTCCTGTAGTACCAGCACATCTTTGTAAGTATGAGGAAGAAAAGGGAGATGTTGCCATTTTGTAGTAGAGCATTTCTTTTTGTAATTCTTTGAGATTGTTATTAAGCTGATAGTGAAGAAATATTTTTTCATTAACAAAACATCCTTGGGGAAAAAAGTGAAGAATAGTCTCTGCATAAAATAATCTTAGGAACTAACTACTGGGACATTACGAAGTTACTGTTATTCTATTAAGAACGTTTAAGGTTAAAAAAACTTTCAAAGGACCCTGTAAATATTTTTTTTATGAATAAATGAACAGACTTTTATGCCTAAACGATTTTATTTCTGACTGAAACAAATAAGAAATTAAATTTGAAGGAAATGAACTGTAATCATCATAAATAACAAACTAAAGTTCTTCAAAGATTCAGCTCACTAATCAGGGAGTCATAGCTTTTGTGTTTGCTATTCGTTTGGTTTTTCATTTGTGTTCCTGCTTGCTTTTGGTTTTGTTTTTTTATCTCTTGAACTGTGTCAATTTTCATACACTTTTTTTAATGTTTCTTTTTCTGACTGTATTGAACTTCAGTAATTTACACTGGCCTTGGTTTCGGTTAAATAAATGTTGCTAAAGTGTATGAATTAAACTGATACAGTTTCTGAGACCAGTCAAGATTGAACTAAGACTGTTCTGTGTACATCCATCCATCAAGTAAAAAGTAGCTGTATCTTCCATTAAAAGAAAGTTGGTCTTCGATTCACTTCATAATTATCTATGTAGCAATAAACTAAACATGGGAACTTCAAGTTTTCTTTAGTGCTGAAAAACTGTATTTTGGAAAGTATGTTTCATAATGGAATAGGGCTGCTAATTGATTCTCCTTTAGAGCATTCCTTTCGTCTCTGACAGTTCCCTGCTCATTATAAAAGCAGAGTATAAAGAAGATTTTTATTGGAAAGAAGAATGAACTGAATAGTTGTTTACCTTTTAATTGGATCCAAGGCCTAATAAGGACAATAACAAATGCTATTATTTGGAGATTAAGTATTCAAAGAAGTCTTTGAACAGTGATTAAAATCTTAAAACAGCACTGAAAAGAATATACTCTGAGGAGATAGGCTGAACAGTAAATTGCATGATGAACATTTGCCTAACACTCCAGCAATTTTTTTTATGTACGCAAAATAATTTGTATCTCAGCCTGTGTTTTTTCTATGTATTCAAGGCAAAAAAAATGAACTGCCTTCTCTAATAAATGACTACAAAGCATAGTTCTTCCTATTCAGAGGAAAAATCTAGAATATATTTGACATTAATCATTATGGATGTACAGAAACTGTACTGCAGCCAATTTTCATTTTAAATGCTAGTTTTGTGAGATTAAGTAATTCCAAGAAAATACTGAACTGGAATTTGATTTCAGGTTGCTTTAGGGCTATTTTAATGAAACATTTAAGAAATACTAGGTTTTCACATATGTGTATCTTGGTATTTTTGATACAGGAGACATTCCACTGCATGTTAATATACGGGAGACATGTGATTCAGGACAGCCTGTTGTGATATCACAGCCTCAAAGTGATGCCGTAAGTTTGGTGCACTGCACTTAAAACAACAAAAAGCCATCCCCCAAAAGTGAATGGAGAGTGCTTCTCGTTATTGCTGTTTAAGAAGAAATGTGTATCTGAACGTAACTTAGGGAAATAAAGTAAAAGAGAGTATCATCAAGTAACTCAGGCCCTTCATTTTGGAATGCTGGTCATCCGTTCTGCTTGGTTTTGTTTAATTAGCCTGAATCATTCAGAATAGCAAAGATTTGATCCAGGTTCTGGCATGCCAAGAAGAGGAAGGTCAGTGTCAAGCCTCATGAGACTTGCAGCTAATGTAGGTCCTCTAAAACTGTCAGCTGAGCCTTTGGTCGTTGAGCCTGGAAACTGTCAAAGGGTTCTACCCAAAGATGTTTGGAACAAAACCTGCGTATTGTCAGTACCTGGGTTGTTTTCAAAAAAAGTGGAGCAATTTACACACAAGAGGAAATGGATTTTTCGGTGCATTTACCATAACATTTTATTGCCAAAGGAAAATACGAGTTGTTGAGGTGGTGGGAGTCAAATACGCAAGTCTGTAAAGAAAAGCAGTTGCACATGTAAAACTTCATTAACACTGGTAGAGTAAAGTTTTCCTGGCTAGTATTTTCTTTCTCCTCTGCTGGAATTGGTCTGCCAGGCTCTTTAGGGCAGAATATTGTCTGCCACATTGTGTTTGCACAGTAATATGGCATGATGCAGTCTGACTCTTGACTGCTGCATAGATGTTACCATAAAGAAAAAAAAAGATTATTGCTGATAATAGATGGTAGAGTCAATTAGAAATAAGGTAGAATGTACCTATCGTACATTGTAATATCAGTAACCTTTCTAATATCAGAATTGCTAGGCACATGCTGAAATATTTTTTTCCTTCCCACTCTTTTAAAAGAAAACAGAAAAGGGGGAATTAACACTGTTAATCCAATGTTACTAACATACTGATCAGGATTCCAGAGGAACAGTGACAGTCTTAAAATTGTAATACATCATTTTGTTTTGAAAGAGAAGCAGCAACAGTATGACGTGTTGATTTTTAATTGAATGCAATATTTTTGCTAGGCTTGGGCGAGGACCATGCTGATCCTCTGTGGAATAATGTAGTGATCTTGAGTCTAGATCCTTGTGAAAAGGAATCATTATAAGCCGTACGGTAGTTTCTATCTGCAAAGGTTTGAATAAATGCATGGCTTAGGTCAAAGTTGAAGCAAAACAGCTGAGGAAACTAAGATGGAAGGCTTGCAGTATCTGAAATCTATAATAACCAATAGTCTGTAGCCTGCAGGACTTTCAATCTAAAAATTCAGACATGTAGGATAGCATTCTGCAAATTAAAAAAGACAAGAAAGTCTGTTGTGTTGCCATCTGTTTCTCCTTGGACTATGTTCTTGGTAACGAAAGGAGGGGTTATAAGCATCATTTGTGGCAATTAAGTTAAATATGAAGAGGAATAAAGATTGACAAATACGTGTGACTCTGGGGAAAACTTTTAATATTCTCTGCCATTGCATCAATGAGATAATAATTCTCCTCAGAGAGTGAGGTTTTTTCCGATGTCACTAATCTCTACAGAATGAAAAAAGAATTCCCCTTTATTCCTGGTTTGCTTCTCATTTTAAAGACAGAGAGAATTATTGTTGTTCTTTTGTATTTTAAAAGAAAAATTAAATTCTTGGCACATAACTGATGGTGGAAGAGGCCATATAAGGTCAGATTCTAATCTTTAATACATGACACCCATCGCCATGTTTCTCAAATAAACTAAAATTGTCACTATTCATGCATGAACAATCACAATTTTTCAGATAGAGAACAATGTGCTCAGAGCTGCTGAAATTATCTCTGTTCTTGTCCCTTAATCTTACAGGGTTTTTAAATGCAAAATTCTGTGCTATTTTTGTTAGAACACACTTAGAAATCAAATACAGAATCATAGAACTGAAACAATATCTAGCAGATTTAGACAGTGGGGAATAAGGATGGTGATTGACTTCTCAGAAACCCAGCATGCTGTCACACCTTCTAAGCTCTGTCAAGACTAGAATAAAGGGTGTTTCTAAAATATGTTAGCTAATACTTTTTTTTGCTTACACACCTACCATGGGTACAACTTGCCTTGCTGATACATAAAAGTATAGCTCTCACTCTACACTAGAACTTTAAAATGTGTAAGAAAACTTGTCTAAATTCGTTATTTTAAAGTTTAGATGTAGTTGGTGGAAAAGGGAATTTTCCTTTTCACAACTGGCAAGGAAACTACTAACAGCTAAAACAACCCTTTCAGAAAAAAGAAAATTGCTTGTAGAATTGTGCATGTGTGAACTTAGAAAGTCCTTCATCAGAGAAGGCATAGAATACCTAAGACTCATCTGCTTATGGAAAGGGCTAACTATATAGCTAAGGGATGTGAAGGTTTAATGGCCGGAGTTCTCTTCTGGTGAAGCTTGAGACAGTCCCTATGGAGAAATAAACAGTGCTGGTAAAACGATTTTGCTCTTGGTATAACATTGTCTATGTTAGTGTTTCTGTCAGCCTAGTTGTTTAAATTGTGGCTTTTTTTTAACACTCTTCATTGACACTCATCATTCTGGACGTCACCTCTAAGCAGGTGGAGGAAAAGAAGCTTATCAGGAATAGTCAACATGGTTTCACCAAGGGGAAGTCATGCTTGACCAATGTGGTAGCCTTCTGTGATGGCATGACTGGCTGGATAGATGAGGGGAGAGCAGTGGAAGTTGTCTGCCTTGACTTCAGCAAGGCTTTTGACACTGTCTCCTATAGCATCCTCGTAGGTAAGGTCAGGAAGTGTGGGCTAAATGAGTGGACAGTGAGGTGGGTTGAGAACTGGCTGAATGGCAGTGCCCAGAGGATCGTGATCAGCGGTGCAGAGTCTCATTGGAGGCCTGTGTCTAGCGGTGTTCCCCAGGGGTCAGTTCTGGGTCTGGTCTTGTTTAACCTGTTCATCAGTGACCTGGATGAAGGGACTGAGTGTACCATCAGCAAGTTCACTGATGATACAAAGCTGGGAGGAGTGGCTGATACACCAGAGGGCTGTGCTGCCATTCAGTGAGACCTGGACAGGCTGGAGAGTTAGGCAGAGAGGAACCTGATGAAGTTCAACAAGGGCAAGTGTAGGGTCCTGCACCTGGAGAGGAATAATCCCACTTACCAGTACAGGCTGGGGGTTGATCTGCT